ATTATGATGGTCTTTTTTTCGTGGCGTTATTATTACAGCAGTGACAGAATCTCCATATCACCCCAGCGTCATATTCATCATGGGACTCGTGGCTATTTTCATAGTTGCCGCTTTACTTCACCCAAGGGAATGGGGCAATATTATATACGGACTACTTTACTATATTCTTGTTCCATCTGGGTTCTTACTTCTAGTCATTTATTCTTTGTGCAATTTGAATGATATTTCATGGGGAACGAGAGAGAGTGGTACAACGAAAGAGAAGGAAAAAGAAAATAAAGGATTATTGTATAAAATATTCTCCCCGTTAACAAAGATAAAAGAAAATTTATTCCAATCAAACCCTTCAGAAAAGGACCTGCTCCTTAAGGTATTAGCGACAATGACTGACATTGTTGGATTCAGGAAGGATTCTGCAATAAACCATCCACAAAATGAACATTTGGAAGAGATAGTAACAGAGATGGCGCCACTTGTAAGAACACATTCTCAAGAGCAAACTAAAGAGAGTTCAGAAAAAGTTTTTATGGAGAAGGTATGCAAATATCATTATGTATCCGACGAATATTAGAAAATTAAAGATGCTTAAAATTATATTATGTAAAACTAAGGTTAAATGTAGCTTTAAATCTTAAATGATTTATTAATATGCCTCTACATATGCATTCAGGTATTACGTTTACATATACGCAGTACAGTTAAGGCAACATTTTCCATAAAAAGTCACGGAATCCGATACATATAATGTTTAACAGATTTATTTTTTAGCAAGACGCTCTAGTTAAAATAGTTATTTGTTATCTTGAAGAGTTTGTCCATCGCTTTTCATATCGGTATTTTTTGACATCATGTGACCCCCTGAAGTCACGTGGGCTCTGAATTTAGGTCAAAAAATGAGATGTCAAATTTAACCAAAAAGTGCAAGGGTAAGGCAAACAAAAAATTAACTGCACAATGTTTTATGTTGTCCCTATGTATCTATACTTTCTCAAAAGTGATGCTCATTCAGTTAGTTTTCCGATATAATTAAGTTATTCAGCTAAAACAGACAGTAATGTATGAAAAAATGGATATTTTCCTAATTTCATCGCGAATTATAAATTAACTAAAGGATTACAAAGAAATGAGTATCACTTTTTGAAAACTATACAATAGAATAAATAATTTAAAATAAAAACCTACTTTTTAGATTGTCGCCTTGCCCTTGCACTTTTTGATTAAAAATTAAAATCTTGGAAGAGTCAATCTAATTTTAGTTTTCAAACGCATCATTGACCCAGCATGGGAGATAACTCTTGAGGTCTTGATACAGTTTGTTTACCTCGTAAATTTTAAATAAATATACATGCGGACAGGGCTGGACTCTTTTTTTTTATTACTATATCAAACGGTATGCATAAAAATCCTTGATATTTCTTTCTTTTCTGTGTATTCGTTCTCCATACATTGTACATTTAATGTCTTTCAAACCTCCCGCATTTCCTCAAAGATGTGTATATACATGTAGTACACGAATAGGTCTAAATATTGCCGATATATCTATGTAGAACACAAATGATTAATTAAAATATAGCCTTTATTAATAATTAATTAGATATCTATTCCCCTCTCTCACTACTGTACGCATAGGCGTCGGAACCGGTGAGGGGGGGGGGGGGGCTGAGCGCATGAGCCTCCCTGCTTATTTGCATTGGAATTAACAGTTTTTCTTTTGGTTTAGTCGCCCCCTTTTAAAATAGCCCTCCTTTCATTTTGCTTCCGACGCCTATAGTACACACACTTGTGTTATTTTTTTTTTTCTTTCTGCATACAAGATCATGTTCTACGATGTTCTACGATCGCTTTCAGTCAGACCGCTTATTGTTAATTAAGGGATATAAACTAAGTTATAAGTTTTAGGAACTAATTATAAAGGATTGGGGTATACTCCTGTATTTTGTAAATTGACAGCCATTTTATTTTGAGGTTGAGGGGCTGGCAGATTTTAGAAATAAATACTTGCAGATCTGTGATCTCCCCCTTCCTCGAATCAGATTATTTTTTCCATTTTTTTTTTTTTTTTTTGCATGGTAGACTTTTCAATGAAGAGGAAAATAAATAATAAATTATCTGTCCTTCATCTTATTGATCAGAAATAAACATTAATCTGTCCTGCATTGACATGGAAATGAAAAAAAAATCTGACTTGGAAAACTCGCCTGCCCCAGCCCCCCCCCCCCCCTTCCCTCAGAATTTAATGGTGGTCCCCTATCCTATTTTTTTTAATCAATTATGGGGATCTCTGGTCTCCTGTTTTCGGTAATATTATTGAAAAATAAATGAACACAATGCACATGCTGGAAATAAGATTTTGATCGACATTGGTACCCTCTACACAAATAGTATGCCAAATTTTCAAATCTTAATGGCCTTTTCAACACCTGTACAGTTAATATATGAAAAAGTCAAATTATTATTTATCTAGAAAATTTATTTAATAAACATTTCTTTTCAAATCCAAAGACAGACTGTAGGAATGCTGGGCAGGTGCAAATTATTTCCATCACTTCATGTTCTTGTGGATAAAATGAATTCTGAAAATATGAAAAAATCAGGAAATACCATAATTGAAAGTAATTTCTGTTTTAAAAAATGAAATAAAAAAATTCATTGAAACATTTAACATAGAATGCATAATAATACATGTTTTCAATTCTTCTGTTAGTTTTATTATCAAAACTCTGTATGGTTTATAGCTAATATTGAGCATACCATTTTCCTTGAATTGTGGATTAACTTGCTGTCTGAATGAATCAATTTGTCCAACATTTGGAAATAGCTAGGCCTACAACACAATATACATGTAATATATATGCAGTTATATGCTATGAGATGACTAAATATACATTGTAGAATAAAATGGCATTACATTTGACAAAACAAATTATGCTACATGATTGTATACTGTAGTGAATTTATGTTATTCATATAAATGGAAAAATGTGTTACAAAACTTCTCTGGGAAAGTGAAACCTCTGACATTTACAAAAGTTATTGAGATAATATTTTCTAAAAAAAAAAAAATTCTGAGTTTCTCCTTTACCAAAATGAAAAAAAAAACAAAATGTAAAGCACTTGCAAACTGTAAAAATGTGAAATGCTTTAGAATTACATGTATACATACCCTGTGGAGAAATGATGCATTTTTTATTTATTCATTCTTTAAGCCCAAAACACCTGACAGCTACAATGATAAAAGTATTATATAAATATTTTTAATGTACATGTAATCTAAACAAAAAATGAATATTTTTTTTCATTAATTTAGAAAATTACAACCATAGATCTGATGTGGGGCTTCTATGTTTTCAACACAATGATACTGATATTTTTTTTTAATTGTGTAGCATATTTGTATGTCAAAAGACAAAATCATTGCTTGTTTAGGCCTAGTCACTTGTGAATCATTGACTGAAACAATGAAAACATTTCAATGACATTTAATTTAGTTTAAATTTGTGTTACTGATGACCTCCATTATTACACATATTGTCTCAAAGAAAATGCGCTCATTGATAGGAACTCAGTACATATTCAGTGCAATTAATTTTTAATAATTCTAAAAAGTGTGCAACTTAGTGGGGGGGGTGGGGTACACACAAGACACTGGATTACTGTTTTTCACTGACTTTGATAATACATTTAAATGAACATGGACACACTCGGGTTTTTTAGGTTAACAAAAGCATGTCTACATATCGTAGATCTACACATGTACCTACATATGCGTATACATACCTGTCCTGGAATTGCGGTGCAGTGATGGATCTGCGGAGCTGGTGCAATCGTCTCAGTTTTCTGCTATTTTCCGAAATAATGTCCTCATACTCTCGCAAAAGGGAGAAGTAATGCCTTGTCTCTTATTTTATCCCTATTTTCTTTAAAGATTGTGTGGTTATTGCATTTAAATCCACTGCAAATCTCAGCTGATGTCGCCACGTTTTTAGATGTAAACAACATTCCGTGTCACCGAGTGCAAGCGCTTGGCTGAAGCCGAATGCAGACAAACGACACATTAAAAAGAGAATTAATTTAAAGACATGCTATTTTATGTACAAGAAAATCAATATTTTTTTTCTATTTAAACATGAAGATATTGCTGTTTATTACAAATTCTTGCAAATATCGGTAAATAGTTATTTTGAGCACCATTTCCTTATATGGATCAATCAGGGCGGAGCAACTGTCATGACGTCAGACCTCATTATGACTTCATTACCATATTTTTTCCATGTGTTGCCTTAACTGTACTGCGTAAGTGTAACCTATTTAAACAGATGTTTAGCGATGAAGAACCAAAATGGGTAAACAAAGGCCCTTTCAAAGGAAGATATGTAAAAATGAAGGAAAAGGAAGCTGATTTTTGGAGATCCTTCGTTGACAGGTAAATACTAAAATTATTTACAATTATAATTAATAATTGACAATTAACACAGTTTTTTTTTCTTTTATATGATATTTGTGTATTGGCAAGTAACATCACACCGAGTAAGACGTAGCATCCAATTTTTTTTTTTCAATATATCAGGAATTCATCTATATATGATTTGTTGAAGTTGATTATTGGGAAACCCTTAAATAGGACTAAACATGCTATTTATTATCTGCCTTTTTTTCTTTTAGATACTTAAAACCTTTAGAAAGAGACCCTGCAAAAGAAGACAAAGTAAAGGAACAATTGAGGGAGTTGAGAAATAATGTTTGTGGAGGGATGGCTCTTGTTAACCTACTTTGGATTGCTGTGAACTTCATGTTTCAGTTACGGAGTCCTGCAGTGGTTACTTTTAAACTCCCAGTACGTATTATATGCATTATATTTAAATTCATAAGCACTACATTTTCGACTGAATGAAAAGGTCTACAGGAATTTCAACTGGTTTTTATATTCTTTTTTCCATTTCAAACATTTTTTTTTTTCAATTTGAAAATGTCAAAAAAAATTCAATATCAATAGTTTTCTTTGCCATTTTTTTTTTATTTCTTAATCATCTATTTTCTATTCAATGATATCACATAATATAATAATTCAGTGTATAAAACATTAGCTTATCATATAATTGACACAACTGTCTCTAACAAGTCATTTTTTTTTCCATTTCAGATAAACAGTGAGGATGACGAAGTCGAGAATTACGAGATGAGAATCGAATTTCTGGGTCTGCTGTTTATTGGGTTTTTCCTTATCATTCTTATGATACAGTTTTGCGGCATGGTTATGCACAGGTAAATGTTATCATTACACACAGGTCTGAGAACAACAAGCGTATTTACGCATATAAATGAATTTATAAGATCTAAATACATACAGAAATGTGTTATTCTTATTCGTCGCTATTTTGTAAAAAGTCATGGGTTTAGAGGAGTTTTCGCGAGTTCTATAGTTTAGCGCCCACTAGTTATAATTAGTCCAATCCTTATCAAAAAAAAAAACGTTTGGTTCCGAAAAGGTGGACATACTGTTATTTTTGAAGAAAATACATATACTAATTTGCTTTTGTAAAAGGTGTAGAAAATTTTCTTTGCCCTTCTTCTGTTGCATTCTAAAATTGTAAGATATGTTATTTCATTTGACAATTGTAATAAAGGCTCTGCACACACAGACCCTCTCTATTTTATGAGTTGCTGCAAAATAGAGCAGCAAATGTGCTTCATGTTCATGTGAACTAAAGCTTATGATTTTCAGTGCTTAAGATCCCGTAATAAGATACGCATAATATACTGTAAACAGGGTTATTTTTTAGCCTCATGTTATAAAGAATAAGCAGAGTTTTTATCATGTCACAGAAATTAAACTATGTTCTATGATTTTGGACGCCTTGTTTTAAGTTCCCACACCTGCAAGTTTTGTGTGTGGAGTAAAAACCAAATATAGGTGAGAACTATCCTTAACACAGTGAAGCAAAAGACATTATCAATATTTACAGCCATCCTAATATTAAATATTTTTTAGCAAGTAAATTCAGTTGTAAAGAAAGCTGACAAGCAAAAGTTACAATACAGTTTTCTTTTCATTTCTTTGTTTTCAAATGATTTTTTTTTTGTTTATTTTAAGTTTGTTTGTCTTTACAACTGAAATATCTCTCTTTGTGTTTTGTTTATTTAAGTTTTTGCTAAATTCATTCCAGATGGGGTACATTTTTGCATCTTGTTGCCATCACAGAACTTCCAAATCCTTTCAAAAGACAAATGAAACCAGATCTTCATTCCAATATTTTTGAAACTTATGAGCTCGCAAAAGAGGAAAATCAGGAAATGCAAGAAATTCCAGAATATGATAGACAGGAGGAGGAAAACGAATATTTGAGACAAATTGAACATCTACAAGAAACAGGTTCTTTAGAAATTCTGAACAATCTTTTAATTTTCTTGTTTATTTTTCTTCTCAAAATTATTCAGACCGATTTCAGTTTCTATCTCTTCTAATTTTCGGTTGTCCTGTGAATGACTCTTAAACACAATATTTTTTTCTTACATTTTATTTCTAAATTTTAATAAAAGGTTCATTTTTTTTATTGATTTTTTTTTTAATATATCAATCTATCAAACTTATACATTGTACTTAAGAAAATACTTTTTGTTCATTTATCCATTTTTTTTATAAAAGAAAAAAAACTCTTAAAGTGACCATATATTTTACATTGTTCAGACTAATAAAACCTATTTGATTATATACAGTACCGACCGGACACAACCTAACAGAAAGCGAACCCGGAGCGGACCCCGGGTTCGCTCTCTGGGTCCGCTCACAGGATGAAAATCCACCATTCAGTCGACTGAATGGTGGCTGAATGGCCACTGAATGGTCACTGAAAGGTCACTGAAAAGACCCTTTCCCGTAACCTTTCCGTGATCATTCAGTTACCATTCAGTCGACTGAATGGCACATATATTTCAGTGACCTTTTCGTGATCATTCAGTTGAATCTTTTTATTGAATAATCAGCTTATTTTTTTACCTAAAAATTTTATTTCATATTTTTCTGGTATAATAGCATTAAATGTATCTAATTCCGAATTAAAAAAATAGGAAAAAAATTAATACAAGAAAAAAAATTCACTCCCATGCCCAGAATCGAACCCTGGTCTCCTGCTTACGTGTCCGCGACCTTATCAATTACACTACGACTTCTTGTTAAGATATGTGGATTTAAAATCGATTAAGTTATAGAAATCGATGGAACAATCAGTTCACCTGTTGTATCGAGGAGCTGCGGTGTGTATATATCTTGTATATCTTTTGTATATTCTATGTTAGTTGCGCGGATTTTGGGGACAGATTAATTAATTACACATCTCCTATCGGGATGATGACAATTATCAGAGACGGGCACCTGTTCCTGTGTTAAAGATTTAAGATCGTTGTAAATTCTCTATCTAGAACATTGGCGTCGGAAGCAAATTGAAACTGGGGGGGGGGGGGCAAAGTGTAAAAAAAAAATATACCTTCTCAAAAAACCTGACAAGCAAAAAAAAAAAAAAAGGAAATTTCCCAAACACGAAAATCCAATTTCGTAGGGGGGGGGGGGGGGGGGGTAGGATCTTACTTCACTACCAAAAATTTTTTCCACACTCCATCCTTTTTCCCCATTTTTTACCCATACTGCGACATGTCTGTGGAAAGTGGGGGGGCTAAACCTACGAAACAATATTAAATGTCTATACTAAGTGTATATTTGGAAAAAAGTGGGGGGGCTAAGTCTACACTAGGTATATATTTGGAAAAAAAGTGGGGGGGCTAAGCCCCCCCTAGCCCCCCGGTTCCGACGCCCATGTAGAAACTTAGTAGAATGATTTTATTAAAGCAATATTATTTAGAAAGATAAAATCTTTATATTTTTTTCTACAAGAGGCATGTATAAACGATTTATTTATTCTTGTAATTAAAAATGAATTTAAAATAATGTCTTTCAAAAACTAAATATCTTGCAGTTTTGACAATGACATAATTAAGAAACGAAATTGATCAGTAATACTTGCGATCTTCCAGAAATGGTTTAAATAATATAAATTCTGTCTCATCAATCAAAACTATATATTTCCATAAAAAAAATACCCGCATAAGCAGTATAGAATGTTATGCATTTATTTAAATTTTGAATCGGTTATCGGATCATCTTTTTTTATCACTTGAAGAATTTATGTTTTCTAAATGTAACTAGAAAATTAAAAATCATTTTGAATAAGTCTCACATATTTTATTTTGGGGACAGACTTATTAATTACACATCTCCTATCGGAATGATGACAATAATTATTATCAGAGACGGGCACCTGTTCCTGTGTCAAAGATTTAAGATCGTTGTAAATTCTCTATCTAGAAACTTAGTAGAATTATATTATTAAAGCAATATCATTTAGAAAGCTAAAATCTCCTATATATTTTTTTTTTCTACAAGAGGATGTATAAAGTTAACGATTTATTTATTCTTGTAATTAAAAATAATAATTACTTAAGATATATTTTAAGGTACCCGAATTTGATCACGATAAGTAAAAAAAAAAAACACAATTAAGATTGAATAATAAATCTTTATTCAAAATATTCTTCCTTGTTAAGGAAAAATATCTGATTAAAAAATACTACGCTAGTGAAAAAAATTCTAAATTGAGACTTAAATATCACTGAAAGGTGGCGGAAAGGTCACTGAAAGACGACAGAAAGGTCACTGAAAGTCGACGGAAAGATCACTGAAAGACGACGGAAAGGTCACTGAAAGTTGATGGAAAGGTCACTGAAAGTTGATTGAAAGGCCACTGAAAGTTGACGGAAATGTGTCCGCTGAATGGTGACTGAAAGGTATCTGAAATGTGACTGAAAGGCAACTGAAAGGTCACTGAAATGTATGTGCCATTCAGTGGCTGAATGGCCACTGAAAAGTTACTGAAAGCCGCCTTTCAGTTTTAACTGAAAGGTCTTGTTTCTTCCTGTGGCTCCAGGTTCGCTAGGGGTCCGCTAGGGCTGACCCTCAGCGAACCCGGAGCGGACCCAAAGCGAACCCGTAGCGGACCCCGAGCGAACCCGAAGCGGACCCAGAGAGCGAACCCCAAATTCAGTAGCGGTCCCAGAGAGCGAACGCGGATTCGGTATTTCTTTACAGAGCTGTCAATCAGGATTAGCGATTATCCAATCAGCGCATCAACCAATCAAAATAGCATATTGATCTGTCAAGTGGGATATAAGATCGAACGTGTTGATTTAATTTGATATAAATCCAAACACTGTACATACAAGCAAAACGTGTGAATGTGCTGTGTAAATCTATTAGGATAATTAAAATATTATTTAATATTTATTCATTTTAATTCTCCGGGTTGTATTTTATATTTATTTTCTTTTTTTTTTAAGCAATTAATTAATTATATGTTTTCATTTTCCACGTAGAATTATACATGAATATTTACGTTTTTATTTCTATGAGTCGTCCTCCCAATACTGTACTCAGATTGTTTTCTATAAGCCTGCTGCAAATATTTTTTCTTCAAAAAATATACATGTACAGGAAGATGTATATAAAGCACTAAATATGACCAACAGTTTTTGGGACGCTCTGTCCCTTCCTCAGGACAAAGAAAAAAGTTAGAAAAGTCATAAGAATAAAGGAAAAAGAGAAATAAAAAACAACTAGCAATTTACTACTAAACTACTATTAACACTTTATATTTACATAGTTTCATGTTCAATTGGAAATTTATATAAACACTAATAAAGAAAGAAATCCGGACCTCTACGAAATACATCTGCGTCTGGTTTATCGGGGTATACTCAGGTGAAGCGCGATTTACATAATTGAACGAATTAATTACACTAATTAATCACGACATTCAGTAAATCGTACATTGTTTCATTCTCTCAAAATGGCGTACATGTAACTAAACTTGATAGAGAATAATCAAAGAAATATAATATAGAACGGATATTTCAACATATGAATTATGATCTGTTATAAATTTTGATATGTTTTAGGACTTATTATTATGAAAAAAAATAATTAATAAAAGGGTAAGCAATACATAGTTATGTGGGTTGTTCGAGAGTTGGTAACGCAAACTAACTGCAGAGTTACACTAAATTGAAAGAATAATATTATTAACTTAAAGTATCATCAGGAATTGGGTCTTATTCACGTTCATTCTGGTGAAGTCATTCAGTTTGTAAATACCATTAGGGTGGAATGACTTCAATTTGTGCATCCAGAAGGAAAATTTTCATATACACGCACTTTTTTATGCCCAAGAAGATTAAGAAGATCAATAATTTTGATGTAAATTTTAAATAATTTAATGTAACACGTAAATTGAGAAATCATAAATAAAAAAATTAAATAATTAGAATTTTTAAAAGACAATGTGTGTGTGAAATAGGGGGCATATATTAATATATTCTTACAGGGAGGGGAGAACAATTATTAATTGCCTTTTTCTTTATTCTGATAAAAATCACACTCGCTCCAAAATTCTGACCTCGAAAAAGATCTTATATACAGTTAATTTTTTTTTTAAAAATGTCCGGTAAATATTCATTTCGAACTTTTAATTTTTAACTTCTATAAATGAGATCTAAATATATCAGATATACAAAAGGTTACATGTAATTTATGGATGCAATCATAATTCACGTGTTAAGCAAACATTTAAACTACGATTTAGCAAAACGTAAGGAATAACAAATGTACTTCAAACTACTAGTATATAAAGCTTGAGTTTAAAAGGTATATTTCGTTTAGATTTCTTTCGTCAGTTTCACTTGTAATCCGTTCGATAAAATGAAGATTAATGCAACACTCTTTGCTTCCTCTTCTTTTTTGTTTTCTCGTTATAACTTAAGAAAAACTAGTGCTAATTGTAACGGGAACCGTTACAGATGTTCCCCAAACGCTCCCCAACTCCCTTTTAGTGCCATATTCCCTGTAATATACTATATATGAAAGCATTCAGTCCAAAAGTTTTAAAAATCACTCATTCAAGTGTATTTCTTATTTCATTCGTTCCAAATGCACGCACGTGCGTGCACGTGCATGATGACCATACTTTCTTGTAGGAGTCCCTTATATTTATCTATGTTCTGAATCCCATCCTGTTTGGTTGAAAAACAGGGGAGTTATAGCCATTTCAAGTTTCAGCCAATCAGATTGCAGCACACGTGCATGCGCGTGATTTCATGATTTTTTTTCTCTATCGCATTGTAGGATATCCTAATGAATGACTATGTTTTAAATTTCAAAGCATTTCGTCAAAAAACAAAGGAGATATAGTCATTTAAAGTTTCAGCCAATCAGATCGCAGCACACGTGCATGCGCGTAATTTCTTGAATTTTTTTGTATATCATATTGC